AAAGAGCTGAATTTTTGGAATATATTGTCTCAAACAAGAATATTAATTTAATTTTTTTTGAACTGTTACAATTTTGCAAAATTTCTAACATTTCGAAACTGTTTGTTTAATATTTACATCTTTCAATTTTTTTCAAAAATGCTGCAATTTTTCTCCTTTTATGTAACAAAGACCATTAAAAAGGAGTGCTACTCTCATTTTCAGCAAACTTTCTGTATTTTCGAAAATTGCAAAAAAGTAACATTGCAAAAGTACAATATGGAAGGTAGAGATTTCTGTCTTAAATAAAACTTGTTTTAAGAATTAAAAACTTAGAAAAAGTTATGTATACTTTTTTGACAGAACTAGTACTTTTCATTTAATTTCTGCTTAATGCAAATGATAAAAAAACATATTCTCAAAAACCGCTCCAAATTCTTTCTTTTTTTCCACTAAAATAAGGCCCAATTAAAATAATGGTGAATTCTCTCTGAATTTTCGAAAATTTCGTGTTGGAAAAAAATGGGAGACATTTAGATTTTTGAGCGTTGGCTCATGTTTACATCCGAACGACTGCGTGGTGTAGAGATAAAGCGCATGGTGGGTTAACTTGGACATTATTTCGAGTCTCGATGCGAAAACAAATGTTTGCTAATTTAAACACTTGTGCAGTTTCATATACTATTAGTACACTATTGCGGATAATGTGAGAAATTATGTTCTGTTGTGTATAATGAACCTGCTCAGACTCATTTGATGCCGCGGAGACTTTGAATGTGGGCGCCCTCAGCACGAAAAGTATTCGTTGCACCCAATGCTTGGCCTCCAGGATGTGAGAATACTCAACTAGTCAGATTAGAACTTAAATGAAAAGTCGAAACAATAATATAGTTTCATTAACCATAATCACAGCATCTGTACGGCAAGAACATTGCAATATCAACACACTATACATATTCATAATAGGCCCCACGTCGCATAACAAATAATGTTCAAAGCCGCCCAGGCAGCAAAAAACGAAATTCAAAATGAACACAGGAAGGGCATAACAAATATTAAACTTTCACTAAAGCCTATGTCACTAGACTAACAAAAAATTAGAAAAAAGTAGAAATTTTGAGTTTGCAAAAATGATCAGTTATAATAAAACTCCCAAGACCATGCTGAGTGTAGTAATTAGGTTCTCACCAAACATATACAAATTTCAACACACCATCATTTGAAAACCTACGAGAAATTACAATGCTTACAATACATTACCAAAAGGAAGCTATGTGCAGTGGCAGCCAATGAATCGCGCGTCATTTATGCTTTCATTCCACTGGGAAAAATGGCCGTTAACAGGGCCAAAGAACTCCAAGCTGGTGTCGATTGAAGACCTCCTTAAAAAAAACTGAAAAGCGTGGTGTATTTGAGAGTTGGATGGATATTTGTTTTATTTATAACAAAAAAAATTACAATCTTTTTTTTACAAAATAATAAGTAAATATGATGTTGTAGAATTATTCTGACATTGATTTCCAGTGAAGGTATCTCATCGGTACTCTTCATCTACTTCTTCATACTATAACAAAAAGCAAGTATTATTTTGGGTTGGCTGCAAGTGGGATAGTTTAGTAGCTGAGGGTAATGTTTCAGTTATTAGTTGAGAATCTATATGGGAGTTATAGGGGTGAGGTTCTGGTTAGTCGATGGATGTCTGCACTATTGTCTAGGATGTTGAGGGCTAAGTGGTTTGGATGGTTTTCAAGGCGCTGGATAGTTTGAGCTGATTAATTCTATTCTTTCCAAGACAGTGGGCATTTTTAAGTCCTTGTGCAGTGCTGCATTTGTGATGAACCATGGTGCTGCCGCGATCATTCTTAAGGTCTTGGATTGAAATCTCTGGATGATCGAGAGATTACTCTTGCTTGCTGTGCCCCAGATTTGGATGCCGTAGGTCCATATTGGGATTATGATAGCTTTATATATCAACAGTTTATTTTCCAGTGATAGTTTTGAGGAATGGATAATAAGTGTGAAACTGCACTTTAGGTTATTTTGAAGATTTGTTCAAATCATTTTCGCTGAATCACAAAATTTAGTTGCCAAGAAACCTCAAATTTCTTTCTATACAATAACCCTTGAGTTTTAAATATGCAAATTAAGATTATTTGAAGAAATAAACTGTGATACTGGAGATTAACATAATGCTAAATGAGTTATTTTTACGTCGAAAATGCAATTTTTTCACGCTATTTCGTAACAATATCCTGCGTCACTCTTCCGTGACACGTGTCATACTTATCTAAAACCAAGTGACTTATCGGTGCTGTGTAGTCCATCACATCTGACATTTCTATATCCTGCTCGCACCAGGCAAAAGCGCTAAGGTAAAAGTAGCATCGGTTAATCAATACCCACGAATAGCATACGACATTGTGTTCACTTCTCAGGCAAAAGTGAACAAAAGAATCCTTTTTAGACGTCCCAGCAGCAATGTTTTCATGAAACAATGCCGACATTCTCTTCTCATTCAACTCTCGAACAATATTAACCATCAGTCTATATTTTTGAAAAGCATTTTTGCTGAGTTCAGGGAGAGGTTCAGCTCATCACCAGTTTAAAAACTATATCTTCAATATACAATTAACTCCCCTGAACGGAGAATGCACACATCTTGTTTATTTCATTAACATGACTCCATTAAAAATATAGCTAATTCAGAAAACGGGAGATACTCGTTAAAGAAATATAAGTTATAAAAATTATATTGACGCTTTGTTTTGACTCCCAATAAATTAATGAAAATTTACAAATCCGTAAATACCTAAATTCTTTTTCCGTGAACGCATTCTGAGATATATAAAGAATGAGGGATACAAGTGCATTTTTGGCAAATTTTGAGTTAGGAGAAGTAGTGTAAAGTAAAAACTCCATTTTATTTGGTGAACAAACGGTATTTCAATAGCTCAAACTATTCCCGCGTTCTAGCGGTGGAAAGAAAATGCCTTCCATAGCATGCGCAGCAGTCATTCAACTTAGAACTTGATTTTCTCAATCCCACAGTCAGGGCACTTTTATTCCTTGTGCTCTAAGCCTGTCATTTACGGGCGAAACGTGGTCTCTTTTACTTTCATACGTATTTGCGGAAGCTTTTTTGTGAACAGCGTTAAAACCGTGTATTTTATGTTACAATTTTTGAAATGTAAACACATTAAACAAAGAGATTAAGAAGAAACTCTCGTAATATGGCAAAGACATAATGAAGATTCAAATATTGAAGACTTGAAAACGGAAAAATTTATATTATCGCATCACAAAACTTAATCGTACCACTGAAAACGATTACCCGTCAATTTGGCAGGAAGAATTTTGTATATTACCAGCGGAACACGGCAGACGTTGTTTTGCACTTCAACTCCATCTTCTCTTTCCCTCTCACCTTTCTCTCTCCATCTCTCTCCCTATCTCTATCTATCCACATCTCCCTCTCTCTCTCTTACAACAAAATTAACAGTAAATAAGCCTTTTGGGTAAAAAATACGTAAATGTGCCAACTTTCATGGAGATCGGTCACACGATGTCGGAGTTTACCCCCCCCCCCTTATATATACTCGTTCCTCTTACCAAATATTATTTTAATTATTTCACAAGTACTTTCTCACGCGAAAAAATCCATGAAGTTCACGACAAATGGTCAATCCTTCGTCCTTCTCCACGTTTTCCTTGATTTCATCTTATTACACCCCCTCCCTTTCGCCATCAACCTCTTGAAATGTACAACTTCGTAAGTGGCTAAACACAAAAGAATGTGTAAATTATATCTTCTCAAACTTAATTTTCTTTTTTTTGCCGTTTGTTAGTCCGACTATTTGAATTATATGTGATTATCATTCATTTGCTACTTTACTTTTAAGCTCTTGAACCGTGTTTCGTGAATCTGATGCTCACGGTTGACAATTTTGTTTTAAAGAATGGAGTGCAGGCTCATCACTTCAATCCCAACATGAAAGAAAGAAAGAGAAAGAAAGAAAAAAGAAAGAAAAAGAAAGGAAAAAGAAAGAAAAAAGAAAGAGAAAGAAAGAAAAAAGAAAGAGAAAGAACGAATGAAAGAAAGAGAAAGAACGAATGAAAGATAGAAGGAAACATTAATTTGAGAGGGAGAGACACTCGTTGCGAGTGGCAATGCAAAAGAGAATATTGGAAAGGTCGCTTCAACCTCCCGGCTTGGATGGCTCTACACGGTCAGGGGAGACGCGTCGCTGGCCTCCCCTCTTCGTACTCTGCTCTGCGCGTGCGGTGCAGCATGAGGAGGGTGGGGAGGGTCGGATCGCGGTTACACCAGAACTACGCTCCGAGAATGCTCGAGTGAAGCAGCGATGTTCTAGGGAAGCTGAACTATTTATTAGAGATTGAGCGCGGCGTGTTATCCTTACGAGAACTCGTTCCAAGAATCTAGTAAGACACGCGATGCTCACATAATCACACGCGAGCTGGAACTTTCGACAACCTACGTTTTGTACTCTGGTGTGAGCCATACAAAGATATATCATGAAGGGCCTACCATTCCGTAGTTAGCGACCATAAATGGTTGTTTATTATCCTCCCGTTATTCATATGCAGTTATGCAATTTCAGTAAAATTAGTTAAAATCTTAGTTAAAATTAACAAAAATTTGTCCATAGTTTTGTGCTAGTATTATGAGTGATTAAAAATTATAAATAGACCTTTAAATTTTTAGCACAAATACATATTTTTATGATATCATCAATGTTGCAATTTTTGCAACGTTGAGTTTTTGCAGTGTTTATTAAGTTTTTTGCAGTGTTTATTGCTCTATATGAGACAAAAAATCAAAGAAAATTATTGCTGCACTTTTCAATAAAATAATTGTTAAAAACAGACTATAATGTTTTGGAACTTCACGCGACGATGCCGCTGCCAGTTTTCCATTGCAAATGTTCTAGTCTACGGGCTACAGAACTCCCTCCATCGCGAGGAAGGAAATCAAATCTGAGAATTTTCTCTCTCTGTTGCAGGCGCCTTCCTTATTCCTTTTACGGTGATGCTGGTCATCGCAGGGTTGCCTCTGATGTTTATGGAGCTGTCGTTCGGCCAATACGCCAGTCTCGGCCCCGTCGCCATCTACAAGAGGTTCTGCCCCCTTTTCCGCGGGCTGGGTTACGGAATGATCATCGTCTCGGCCATCGTCATGTTATACTACAACTTAATCATCGCCTGGACCATCTTTTACATGTTCGCCTCCTTCAACAGCGTACTGCCCTGGCAGAACTGCGAGCCCGCATGGAGCACTAAACGTAAGTAAATTTTCTGTTACAATTAATTCTTAGTTGCGAATATTAATATTTTTTTACTTCTGTTAGAAAAACAAAACATATATACTTGTAGGTGCATTTTTATAATTTTGTACATCTTTCAAAAACGTGGTTTTTATACAGTTGGCTACTAGAAGACACCGAAAAGTAGAAAGTGGTTTATTTAATGAGATAAAGCAATTGCAAACGACATAAGTATTTGTTATAAGGTCTCCCAAGAGACGTGTTCGCCCTAGAAATCTGTAAGATCTATGCGTTGGATATATGAATACTCAGAATAATCTTAAGATATGTCAAATTGCATTATTTTCGACTGCTAGTAAAACACTGTTGGTGTAGTGTAATTTAACATCATCTGTCAAAACATTCACATGTGTGATGAGGTATGATAAACCATCTTTTACTGCAAACGAATATGGATAGTTTTAAACAGATATTTCCTCATGTGTTTAATTCTGTTTAAGTCTTCTCGTAATCAGTTGATTATTTTTCACCGGCGGCTTGACCATTTCACTGCCACCAGCTCTTGGTCAAACTCCTACTACTGTCTTTCTTCCCACTTCCCACACTTCTTGTTTCAAATTAAAGGTAGAATAACTTTTTGTTCATTACAATATATTCGACTACATATTAGGATTTATCAAGGGAATTTGAATTCACATTTACCATTTTATGAAATAATATTGAGAAGAAGAAGTGTGTATTTGTTGCCTTTCACTTCCCAGTAAATCAAAGAACCGTGAAGGACAACACGTGACCGTGTGTATCTGGTGTTTCAAGCCTTTCCGGATGTAAACAGGAACGCATTTGTAAGGGATGCATACGCAAACGTGAACTTTACTCCCCATTGGAAAAATACGATTAAAAATATCAATCGACTCCAGCCACCCTGTGAGTTTTGCATGCAACTCTGTGAACGAGGGCAATACAATCACTCGTAACGTTTGTTCGTTTTGAAGAGCCGTTCGTCCATCCGAGAGAGGCGAGGGTCGGGCGATAGGGGCGAGATCTGGGGCACACGGGCGCGTCCTGCGGTGCTCAACATCGCCACTCGAATTTAGAGCAGCCATAAAACGGTGTCCCTTTCGGAATGAGTGGGGAGACACACCATATCGTCCATAACATGTCCGTCTCTCTACGACAATTAACCTATATCCGTGCTCGCAATTTTAAAGCGAATATTTGGAACCCAAATTGGGAAACGTGCATTGGGAGAACATGCGCGAGAGGAAGAGGTTTGGGTGACATTCTAGAAAGTTCGAGATTTTGAATTCGGAAAAGATTACTTGCGTATTACAGAACTGCAGATATGCAACATACGCTTAATTTTGTTTTATTTTAATTTTTACTTCAAACATTAATTTAAAAACAATTATACCTCTTTTCTACGTGCGTTTCCTATTTTTCTGCATATTTCGTCCATTGGATTTACAGTTTCATACTCTAGAAACATTAAAAAAAGTTAATTGAAGTTTTGTTAACCAATTATGCATGAATTTATCTTATGCATCTCCAGTGAAATGCTTTCAACTAATCTCTACTTAGGGGGCTACCAAGGTAGAAGATCGCGTTTGTAAAAGGTCAGGACTACTGAGGGGATGTTTGAGGTTAGTCCTTCGTAAATATAATAAGGATAATTTTTTTTAAAGTTGTGTTTTATATTTTATAAGTTTCACGAACTTAAACACATATGAGTTGCTCTGAAGAAGATAGAGTAATTTTCTACTTTTAGAAACAAGGGATATCCTCTTTTTGTCACCAGAACTCAGTGAAGATTTCTTTCGAAAATTAACATTTTCAGCTGCACGATTGCAATACTTCATGCTTATTTGGCGAGAAAGTAAACTGTACGACATTTCAAAACGACATTTCATTCAGGGGAAAATCTCTACCTTTAATATTGTGGTGGTTGGAAGATGCCGAAAATAATTTAAACTTTTGCAATTTTCTAAATATCAGATATTCCAACGAAAATATGACTTAAATCATTCTGTTAAGCGTCCCTTGCGCTATCCGAGAACCAACGTTTATCCAAATATTTGAAACCATATTTTGAAAAAACGGCTTGTTGTTGCTTTGAAAAAAATGGCTTGAAAATGTTGAGGCTTCATGTAAAGTACCCCCAAAAGTTCGAACTCAGAGGACCTCGAGTTCATTTCAATTGATCGGGGTATGTCAATTTTGGAGAATGGGGGCAGATCGATTAAAGCGCTACCAGCTTTGACCACTGACAGACGGACGGACGAACTTTTGCCGCCAATCAATTTCTCGGTATCAAGGACACAAATAACATGGATTCTGAAAACACGTGTTAGAGGAAGTAATGTACTATATATTTTCGTTACGAGAGCTCGGTAATACGAGTTCTGTCGAAAATTTGCCGTTTTCTTTCGCGCACGATTACAATGTGTTGTCTTCGTACGAAGTAAGAACGAGAAAGTAACAGGAAATGCCTCGTTTTTGATTGCCCCAGAACTAATAATCGTTTAATACCATGTACGTTTTTATTTGATTATTGTGTTCAATCTTTGCGGCATGGAGTTTACGAACTCTACAGTAGTCACGGGGTAAATTACATTTCTTTCTTTTAGGAGAATTAGGAGCGTTATCTTGTTTATTAAACACACTGTATTAGAGTGTAGTGTCAATCGCCTTCTACGTCTTCACCCGCTTGCGAAGCTTCCAAGATAACGCATAAAAGAGATCGATTAGTAATATTAAAAAAAATATTTTATAAGTCATAATTGAAAGGGAGGAACAAAGAGTTCAATGTCACGCACGGTCACTTTGAGATTTCAACATAGCAATGAAGAAACTCCGACCTCCGAGGCGGGCTAGAGTGTGTACCGACTCAGCGCCTTGGTCTGAAGGATTGCTGGTTCGAGTCCCGCCGTGGGCATGGTTGTTTGTCCCTTGTCTTTTGTGTATGTGTGTAGTCGCGGAAAGCCTTGTGAGTCGTCTGACGAACCCTGAAGTGTGACGAGTGTAAATGGTTAATGTGTCCCTGTGAGGGACATAGAGAGTACCCGGCGCGGATAGTGGAAATCGACATCCCCTGAAAAAAGAGAAAAAGAAAAAAGGAACAAAAAAATGAAGGCGAGAAACAGAATAAAAATAAAGCAACCATTTGGTCTTCCTTCTTCAAACGGTAATCAAGAGTTCAATTTACGTATTCATAAACTGAAAGGGATTATTCTTGCCATTTCCAAACAGCCAATCCGTGTCTTAAATAAATGAACCTCGCTATCGTCACGCCCTCTCCGTCTCTCGTGGCGCGTGTCGTGTAGGAAGAATACGTAATGAGCACGGAGGCAAAACTCCTTCATTCAAACTCAAACACGCGTGGCCAAGCGCTCAGGGTCGCCAGTCGTCAGTCAAGGGTTCGGGCCAGGGGGGGGGGCAGCGAAAAGGTGCGTGCGTGACGCCAAGGCCGCGCCTGGGGCACTGGCCTGTGCGCGCGCGCCCGTGCCGTGGCGAGGTCAGGGGCAGGGCGGGCGTGAATGGGCCTCCTGGCTGGCGCGGCGCCAGCACGCTCCCTCCCCAGGCGGCATGCACGCACGCGCGCACGCCCTCCCCTGGCTACGTGGCACGCGCTCGCGCGCCTGGGGCTCCCATGCAGCTCTGCCCGCGAAGTCGCATCAGCGCTGTACGTTCCTTGGATTGGTTCGTTGATTGTTAGTGATTCCGGGCGCGTCAACTGTTAAGGTCATTAACCCCCTATATTTTTCCTCGGGATGAGGCGGTGGTATGGTTACTGGTTGGCGAGTTCCGGTGCCCACCTACCATCGGCTAGCGGGGTTTTCCCTACCAGGTACCTCCTACCAGCGGGGCACCGCCTCAGCTCCCGACTACCAAGCTCTAAGCTCCCGACCTGTCTCCCTGCATGTGTGGTGGTTAGTAAATGTGTGTGTGTGAGGAAGGGGTGACGGTAGGACAAGGAAAAGGAAGGAAAGATCACGTGCTGTCCATGGCCCATTTGATAGGGTATTTTTCAGCTCGTGAAATGTTCGTGACCTTTTGTAAAGAGCTGATTTTTTAGCACAGATTTCGTTCAACCAAGAAACTCTGTAATGAAAATTGTACAATACTTTTACAATATTAAATTTTGTTTGTAATTTTCGAAAAAAAACAGCAGAAAATGCACCGAAAATGGGACCAGCACTACTTTATTTACCGTTCTTTCCTACATATGAAAAAAGTTTTAAAGAATAAATTGTGAAATATCTTTGAAAACTGTCTTTTTTCTGTTCAAATAAAATCGGAGGTTTCTTGCTTATAACAAAAGCGAAGCGAAGATTGCAACTTTTTTTAATTTCGGAGATTCAGTGTATTTCAATTCAAAAGTTAAGGAGTGTGTTTAAGTTCAATGTTCAGTAATTGTCTGACACGTGTCATTTTACAAAAAATGCCCAGTAATTATAATTATTTGTAACACATTACTTTTTTGAGTTTATGTGGACAGCAGTATTTCCTGGCAGGATTCATTACAAACTTACAAGTACAGACCTTGGTTAATATAAAACTTTCCAAATACATTTTCAGAAACATTTTTAACTCTAGTTTGTCAGTGAATGGTGATAGTATTGTTCCAACATTTGTGAATCGCCCTAATTTCGTTACATTCACATCTTTTATTTTAATCATACTTATAATATGTTCCTTTTTGTTATATTCGTATTTTTATATTCGTCTCTGTACTTTCATTATATTAGTCGTGGAAAATAAGTAAAGAGCAATAAGAACCAGCTTTGAGATATTCAGACCGTACAGTGCGTATGTATATTTTGTATGTATAAATTTTCTACTTATTCTTTTTACTTTCTCACACTTATTTCGTAACCAGAGAAAATTTTATAATCATTCACTCACAAAGCAAATTTTCCATTGAAAAACTTGTATTAACGGGCTCTGGCAATGAAGTAGGGTATAAATCTTGTGTAATCTCCTGCATGTAATAAATGTCTTCCTATATCACGATGTTT